AAACTCATTGTTTTACTATTTTCTTTAAAAAAAAATATAGAAAAAAATGAAGCGGGTTTTGAGAAAATTTTGAAAATGTCCGTAGCAATTCATGTAAAATCAACTCGAGCCAGATGGACGTATTACTGGGGTATGAAACCGAAATTGAAAGAAGAAACAATTTATTACCCCACGGCAATATTGTTCAAGAAATGGTAATAATTATTTGTTTATAATAGTTTCATTCGTCCATTGATTATATGTTTTTGATGTATGTAATCTGTGAAGTAAATTCTTGTCCATGTTTCATGGCCGTCTGGAAATATCTTCACAAACCTGTACATAATTAAACGATTTCGACCAGTTCTCTGAGTTCTGATTGGCTGTTTTGGACTTTTAATTGAACGATGGACTTTTAATTGAACGCATGCCATCAAGAGTTATAATCAGCGATTTTTCATGGAATTAATTAGTATAGTTAGTTAACTAGACTAAAAACATTTTAACAATACATCTGACAAGCAAACTTGAGGTGATACAACAGCACATACTTTCTCGCAATATTGAAAATAGTTACGTAACCTTGAAATATTGTAATTTGACCAATTCAAACTGCAAAGCAGTGGGCCAAGGCCCCAGCCGGAAAAAGCTCTAAACTCTCTACCTGTCTCCCGGCATGTCTGCTAGTGCAGTGGTTGTGAACGTAAGGGATGAGGATAGGACAAGGAAGAGGAAGGAAAGATCGCGCGCGCAATCCGACATTCGCCTGGTGTTGATCAGAGAAACCACCGAAAACTACACATCAGGGCAGCTGGCACCTTCTACTCCAGACAGCGACTGAATTTCAGCAATCTAGCTAGTGTCAAAAATCCTTCTACCGTCAGGATTCGAACGTGGGACCTCCAGGTTAGAGGCACTGCAGCGACGCCCTGAGGTACCTCTCACGGTCTGTCAATCGATGTTTCGGTATCGAAGTCTCTCATAGCCAGGATTCAGGCTACACATCTTGTTAGAAGAAGTAATTCACTATATATTGGGAAAAGATTTGTCCACATTCTCAATACCAGGGCCCGGCAATAACAGTTTTTCTGTCGAAAATTCGCATTTTTTTCCCAGCAGCATTACAATACTTCCTCTATACCGTGTACGCAGTGGCGGGAAGGTACAACAGTGGTCCTTCAACAGCACTTACTTTCTCGCGTTATTGGATATAGCTACGTAATACCGGAATACTGTTCTTTCTGCGCTACTAGCGCCTCAGCTTTTACACGAACCCGTCCAATTCACCTGAGAAGCGAGCAACGCACTCGTGGCAGCGCAGCGCCGTCAATTGAGCATTCGCGCCGCGAAAAATATCTATTCTTGGCTAAAACGCTAATTCCATCTGTATTAAAATTTCAACTTGTTTATGGGTTAGTCATAGTACTTGTTCATTATACACAGTTGATAACTAACCCAAACACTAATAAACTAATTAAATTACTTATATTTTAGGGTTTGTGATATTAAGTTAATTTATTACCGCCTTTCTATAAATCGAGTCCGCCTCAAACGAAGCGCACGAGAATAAAACTTTAACGTAGTATGTTCGTTAGAGCGACCGCGGTGAAGTTCCCCCACCAAATACTTGAAATGAAAGAAAAATCTCTGTTCTGCGAGACGGTAAGAAACAATTTGGACCATCCCGGCCTGATTGTTTAATAAAAAAAGTTCAAATCAGCACAGGCTGTTATGGAAAACCGTTCGCGGCATTGGTTACTTTACGTTATTGAAGAAGTTATATGGCTAATGTATCTTTTCTTTAATTTTCTTCATTACTCAGTAAATTTTATTTAGGAATCAGATATTAAATTAACATACCTCATCGGGCATTCTGTGAGTAATTTATTTATTTATATATATATATATATATATATATATATATATATATATATATATATATATATAAACTGTTTCGAAATTAATGCTTTTTTATTGCCAGATAATTCTCCAGCATTTTTAATAATTTAGATTATTCATTTAGAAATGAAGAGAATCGAAATTCAACAGCTGAAAGGACCTTTAATTTGTTTGTCAAATACAAAATGTATTTCAAATATGTAATTCTAATACAAGTATTTAATTACTGCATAACCCTGCTCATTGCAAATCGTGCAACACTTGGTGCAAAAAAACTAAACATTTTCAAGCAAATATCAAAACAAATTTAACAGTTATAACTGCTTTTCATGCTGGTAAATGAAGAGCCAACAGTACGACGTAATTCTCTAAAATTAGGTCCGAGTTATTGTTTTCGAGTTATTGTTGCATTCCCATCTGATATTCCCTGGCAGCTAGCAATTTTTATTTCATACATTTCAAATAGATTTTATATAATTTCTAAAAGACTAATGTGTAAATGTATAACAAAGAGTCGAAAGTAAGAAACGAACAAATAAATATGAATATTCTAATTCTAACTTACGAAGCATCATTCTGACTCAAAGTTCAAAGAGCGCAGTAAATTCATAGAGGGCGATAATTTTTGCCGCCAAATTACACAAAAATAATTAAAAAATTTAACATGACCGCATTTGAAGATGTTTATTATGAACACATTATTGTAATTGTAGGAAGAAGCGGAACTTTTTATACTCTTCAAAATTTTTCGCAAAATCAGGTATTTTAACAAACGTGAGACCTGCATCATTCTTTTAAAGAGTCCTTTATGCTAAGGTCCCGATGAAAAATGTGCGTTTTTTGAGAAACAATTGTTTGAAGAAAATAAAATTGCCTTATGTTTGACACAAAATTTCACATAAAATGTACATGTTAGAAGAATTGAACATGACCTTCTTTGAATAATTTGTTTTAGATTAACACATTTCATTTCGAAAAAAATGTATTTTCATAATTGTAGTTGTAGGAAGAGTGGAACAAAATTGTGAATTTTTTCAATTATTGAAAAATCAGGGTTTTCAATCAACATGGGACATGCACCATTTGCTTAAATGTCCTTGAGACTAAGAACAAAATTATATTTTATATATATATATATATATATATATATATATATATATATATTTCTTTTTATTAATTAATTATATATATGTATTTCTTTTTTTTTTTTTTTTTGGTAAGCTCATCTTTAAAATTTTAGTTGTAGTAACTCGCTGAAAAACAATTTTTAATTTTTCCTATCTCCATTTTAATTATGAGAGCTGCACAGCAATGGACCAATTTTTTTAAATGTCCCAGGGACTTCATGTAAAGTACAATGTTATAGTTGCAATACTGTCACTTTGTAATGTATTTACAAATCATGTTTTTAAAACTCTTACATAATTTGTATATCATACGATAAGGAAAGGTGATTGGCAGGCAGCAGAAAGGTGTTAGGTAGCTTATAAGAAATCATTGACACAAAACCCTTCAAGTGTGCTACTAGCAGACAGAGAATTACACTTCAGTCCTAAATCAAACAGATTTCAGAAGAAAAAGATAGAAGTTTAAAGTAGACGACCTACAAATCATACCACACACATTATAATCGCAAAGGACATGGAAAAAATGTGTGCCTTTTTAACAAGATGAGTTTCCTGTAGGGTCGCGTAAATATTTTGAAAATATGTAAATTCTGATAGATGACATGCATGGG